AAGCCCTGCCAGGCCACATGGGCCTCCGTGCAGCCCAGCACGCTGCCACTCTGCAGGGGCACAGCACAGTCACAATGTCAACAGGACTTGAGAGAGCTGTTTGAACAAACAGGGAGCTTATTTTGCCATTAATATGCAAAAGGCCAGCTTTAACATGCCGCAGCTGAAACAGCAACACTGTCAAGACCCCTTTTTACAGCCTCACCCCCCGCCTTTGTCACAGACAAGCTACTGAAGCTAGGAGAGAGCATTTCTTTTCTTCGAGTTTCTCCTGGTTCCATTTGCCAAGCATTGATTTTCTTTTCCTTCCTACCAGTGAAGCTTGAAATTAGTAATTTCTATTTTATTTTGTCACTTATGTATCATCGATACCAGCAGGGCCGGACAATTGCACAAGCCCCTTCAGGGAGCTGAGAGCCAGCAAGGGACATGGAAAGCCTGGACCCTGATCGCAGAACAGACCTTGGCATTGTCATGACAAGACATGGGACATTCCTGTATACTGATGATTTTAACAACTGCAAATGCTCCATTTCTGTCCCTAAACTGGGTCTTTTGGCAAAACCTGCCAAGAAACCAGAATGAGCATTTCTGTGACCTCCAGCTGCTTTCTCTAGATGGTCTACAGCACTGCCTGAGGACCATGGGGTGCAGCACAGGACTCAAGAGGGCAGAATCCCACCCAGCCGTGTGTCGACTCTGTTTACTTTTGAGGTGGAAAGAATACCAGTCTGTCTGTCGCACCAGCTTCTAGTTTTTCCACACAAAAGTCTTTTCAACCAAATCTCATGGATGCACGTTCTGCCATCCATAAAAAATATTTAAAGCTTCCACAGCTTTATCTATAACAGAGAGGGAAGATGACTGGCAAGCTGGAAGGAAAGCAGAGGCTGAGCTGGATGCGAGTGCATGAGAGCTGGAAGTTGAAGTTTCTGCCCACAGTCATTTTCTGCGTCTAGCACTGACTCCACAAACGTCAGTTCGACATCTGTATTTTTCTGAAGATGGGGATTATGGATCCTCCTTCAGTCCCTGTGGCTACTGGAAGGGCCATGTAGGAGCCACTGCCACATCCCTGGTGACAGGGACAGAAAAGGGTGGGGAGATGCTCTGTGAGGGGCAGTTTGAACAGCCTGAGGCAGGAGCAGGGTGGCTGCTGTGCAGATGTTGTCTTCTAAAGCTCTGCTCCACCACTGCAGAGCCTAGGAGGAGGAAAGGCCTTGAGGTTCATGCACTGACCCTCACAGGTGGGCTGTCTGATGCCGTGAGTGCTGGAGAAGGGCTGAGGCAGGGAGGGGAAGGATGAGGGGCAGGGGCAGGAAAAGGCAGGTCTTGGCTGCTGCCACGCACAGTCTGCTCCCCTTGCCTGTACTTTTCTCTCTCTTTCAGCTTCTCGGAGAAGAGGCATTTTGTAGGCAGCCTGCTCAGCAAATACCAGAACAAGGACAGGGATGCAGCTGAGCCTGCAGTGTCGGCATGAGGATGTGAGCAGTGATGGGAGGCAGACCTCTGACAAGCAGTTAAGGCTGAATCTGTACTCAGGAGTGGGTGTCTGCGATGGTGCCCCCCCCCCCCAGCCTGGTGCCCAGCAATGGATCCAGCCCAGATCCTTATTGCAGGGGAGGCAGCTCAGGCTCAGGGGTGGGGAGGGAGCTGCAGCACATTTGAGTAGCCTGGGCAGGTTCCTGCAGGACATGCTGGAGGGCACTCTAGCCCCATGGCCCAGACCCAGTGAAGGAGAGCTTCTTTAGGGTTTCAGCTACTGAAGACAAAGCAATATCTAATTAAAAGGGGGAAAAAAAAAAAAACAAAAAAAAAACTGACAAACAATAGCAAAAACAACAACATAAAAACAATGCATTTTTGCATTTTCTGGCATCCATATGCTGCAGTGGAGTGTCTTAATGTTCTCTCAGCTTACAGTTGCAGTACCTGTCCAGCATTTTGGTAATAGCATCTGGCTCTGTCTTTTCCCATAAAATGGTAGAGATAGACCAAAGATCTCCTCTTTTCCCAAGTATTTATTTTTCAGATGGAGGTGCTCTGGGGCACTTTGTAACCCACAGGTGGTTGAGAGGTGCACAAGAAGAGGCTGGGTGTAGTCTGAGAATTCATGCCCATGCAGAACTGGGACCAGTGCAGGACCAGGTCTCAGGGTAAGCACTTTTGGCTCAGAGGGGAGCACATTTTTCTGTCCTCCTGTGTGGAGAGCTTCATGGACTGAGCCTTGCTTGAAATCTGCGCTCTGCATCTCTGTCATCACTGTCTTATTTCTCATCGACATTTTCAGGAGACGAGACAAGTGTGCCCTTCATTTCACTGAGGCCACAGTTTCATGATTGTTAGTAGTGGATCTGAGCACAGATGTGCACCTGGCACAGCAGACTTCAGACAGTTCAGCTCAGTGACAAGATCACATTTCAAAGGGACAATGCTGAATTAGCCTGAGCAGATAAAAGTGACTGGCTGCTGAAACTCAGCAGCCCCGGCAGAGGAGCTCAGTTTCACTGATGCTTCTCCCCATGACTTTGATTGCCCCAGCAATGATGGCTACGGCTTGTTCACAAAAAGAGGGACAAGATTTAGGGAAAACAAATTGCAAAACTCATATGATCCTGATCCAAGCCTGGGCACCCCAAAACCTGTTCCCAGAAACACTGACTGATCAGATCTCTCTCAACCAGAGACTCAGAAGATGCAAACAATTTCTGTAATTGTCCTGAAATGATTTTCTGTCAGTGTAAAGACCAATGTGATCAAATCAGTTGCATTCTGAATATGGAGCCATTGTTCCATCTGCTCTTCTCTCTGTTTGACTCACAGGAGTATCAGCATCACATAATAGCCTGCTGTGCTAAACTCCATTCTTCACTGTCCTATAAACTACACTGATGTTCATGGGGCACAGGTAGGATGAGCCAACATTTGATTCAGGAAAAACATTCCTCTGGGACACATCCATGTCAGAAATTAAAGAACTGCAGATGACTGGACAGAGGAGCAGTAAAGATGCCAGAACTCTTTGCCCTGCACATAGCACCTTCTGTCAGAGCACTCTGGGTGGCTGCAAACCACTGAACTGGCCATTACAGTTCAGAGGGCAGATGAAAACTGACATTGCAGCACCTGGCCGTGTGACTCCATTTATATTCAGCAGTCAACAATATATGAGCAAACAGGAACCAGAATTTGAGACTCCCCATTCAGAGGACTCCTTTCATTACAAGCATCACTGGTCCTCTAGTCTGTCCTGCTTCAGACGCCATGAGAGCTGCATTTTTGCTGAACGTTAACACCAATTCAGCTGCCTTGGTGCACAGTTGGTTCTGTAACCACAGACGTAGTGATCACAGCTAGCACCCACAGCTGCAGAGCTCTCTTGTCTTAGCATGCACATCCAAGTACAGCTGGGTCTGCGCTCTGCAGGAGCTTGCAGCTTTATGGTAGTTGGTTATGCAGACATGCTCAAAAAGGCAGGTCCTTTGGACACAGGGGATGTTGCTGCTCTTAAACAGAAGCATCAGTGTCTGCCCTGATAGAGCAAATGGTGTGATTGTTGTGTGCTGAATGAAAGGCATAGGATGAGTGATTTCAGAAACCCTGATGGGTCAGAGAGAGTATTAGCAACTACCCTAATCCATGATGTATTGCTTTCAAAACATTAAACAGGCTGTGGATAAACAAATCAAATCCAAAGCCTTTAGGCTGATCATTCTGATCTTGCACACAAGGAAAGCTGAGGATCCTCAGGTCCTCATGAGCATTGTGATGGCTCATGGCATCCTGAGTGTGATGCACCATGTGCAGCAGGACCTGACCAGCATACCCCATAGAGCTCCCAGCCCAGATCACCCAGACAAATCTATTTGGACTGTTCAACAGTGTGCCTCTGGCAGCAGAAAGCATACTGGGCTGTGACTGCCACAGCACTGGGCAGCTGCAAATTGGAGGTAAAAGCACAAGCAAAGCTCCAGAGCAAGCGAATCAGCCAGAAGCAGGAGTCTCTCAGTATTTTATTGCTGTGCACTTCCATCAGCACAGGTGGTAGAAGCACAAGTGCAGATGCAACAATTATTGTTAATGTACAGGTTTCCTTTATCCTCCAGTGTTTTCACATGCACTAAAGACATCGAAGAAAGTCTGTCGCAATTCCCCATGCTCCTTCCTGCAGACAAAGGTGACTTAGCAGGGAGGGTGGGTTAAATGGAGGGAGCTGGAAAGGCACAGGGCAAAGCCACGCAAGTCTCCCAAAGGATCTATGTCTCATCCAGGTGTGAGACACTGCAGAAATCTAGGTGTGAACTTTCATCACTTTATATGAGTACAGTTTTAACCTTCAGGCTGCACTTCCATCTGCTTTAGACGTGTTCTTCCTCTGCATCCATGAAGAGTTAGCCCTGTTTTCTTTTCCAGAGGAACAGAAAGCTTCAGTGGGAACGGTTTCTTACGAGCAGGGGAGCAGCCTGCTAGAAGGGTTTGTCTGTGAATGGGGTACTTCTGCGTTTGCTGCTCCTCCTGCAAGCCCTTCTGCAAATGCCTGTTATTTTTAATAGATAAAAGTTTAAGGCAAACATTGCCCAGTAATAGAATTAGCCTTGACAAATCTCTGCCTGCAACACACCGTTACAGTATTTAGGGATTAATAGAAAAGTGCAAGCAAAACATGGTGTCAGTTAGCAAAAGCAAACACATCTTTTAAAGAGGCAGGCAAAGACCTGCGTTTCCTAATTAGCCAACCCAATCCAAGACAAAGTGAGCAGTGTTTTCATCAGGGCACCTGGGTCTTCAAAGCTGCTGAACACAACAGTATCATTAAGAAGGCATGTGCTGAAACACAGGACATTTTCCCACCACACAGCCCAGTAATAGGATCTGCTCCTTTTGCCTTTTCTCAGCTGCTGGTTCAAACCTCAAAATCACCTGCTCAGCACCTTCTCAGCTGCTAATCCCTCAGGCCTAATTGGTGCCTAATTGGCTGCATGCTGGTCCTTCCTCACCCTGGGGAACAGGCAGAGGGTATAAACCAAAGAGGGGTTAGAGACAGAAAAATAAGAAATAATCTGATCAAATTTTATTGGAAGGGACTTCAGGATGTTTCTGGTCTAAATCCCTGCAAAGAGCGTATCTAGAGCAGGTTAGTCAAGCTTCATCCAGCAAAGTTTCAGATATCTCTGGAGATGGAGATTGTACAACCTCTCTGTGTCTCTGAGCATTTGCCCACCCTCACTGTGGGAAATTTCCTTCCTGTATTTGGCTGGAATTTCACACCCAGCTTGTGCTCAGTTCTTTGCCCCATCCCTGTGCGCCTCTGTCTCTACACCCTCAAATCAGAGGAGTGAAGACACCGATAAAATCTCTTCACCTTCTCATCTCCAGGCTGATAGGAGTCCCTCTGCGTCTCCCATCCTGCAGCTCCTGACCACCTCGATACCTCCTCTGGACTCAATCCAGCATCTCCGCACGTTCCTTGCATTGGGGAGCCTCAAACTGGACCCAGCACTGCAGGTGGGATATCAAGGATGGGCAGGAAGAGCCAGGGGCAACCAGAGAGTATAATCCCTGCACACATACATGCACAGGCACATGCACACTCACCCACAGATGTTGATTCTGGGGGAGTAAACCGTGGCATGAGCAAAGGAGAACATGCATGTGGAAAATAAAAGGGTCTGGGGCTGAAGGATCCCAGGACTGGAACACGTACTGGATGGGGCTGGGATGTGTGATGGATGTATTGGAGCAAGAATGGGAAGTGCATGGATGGGCTGGGAGCTGAGCAGGGTGAACGGGAGGTCGGGGGGTGGAAGGCTGTGAGATGTGGGAACACATGGAGAAAAGCTCATCAAGTACATTTTCTAAATCCAAAAGAAGACAAATGTGATTTTCTCTTGGTTATTGTATAAATTTACAAGCACACTGACACAGGGCAGAGCAAACAGCAGCAGTGTCAACCTCTAATAGAGATGAATGACAAACATATTTAATGAATTAAAAGATGATGAAGTATTACTGACAAAGCAAACACCCACACATTGTGCACGCTGTCACTGATCTATGTGACACAGCCCTCGAACAAAGACTGTTGTGGATCAATCTCAGCACAGCAAGCACACAGCAGAGGGCAGCCCCAGGGGTCTGTGAGATACCGGGCAGCAGCCTGGGCAGAGGGGTGGTGTGGGGGCTTTGTGGACACCACTGGTGATGGGAGCTGATGTAACATGGGATTGCTCAATGCAGACAATCCATTAGGCTTGTTCAGCTCAGACACTGAGATTTTTAAGGTGGGATATGCAAACTTTTGGTTGTCTGCATGACAAAGGGTCAAAGCTGAGCCAAGCTAGAAGTTCAGAGCAGGCAGGAATAGATTTTCTAATCCTGAGCATCCGTGGGTCTGGGCGTTCAGCTGGGAGCTCAGTGTTGAGCTGTGGTGCATCACTGGGCAATGCAGATCTCTGCAGAGAACGTGGGGAGAAAAAGCAAAAACCTTGGCTGTGATGTCAGGACAGGCCCCATACCCATTTGCCCATGCCCCCATGAAGGTGATTTCAGTCCCAGTGCCACCAGACAGTCACTGTAGCATTGTCAAGACGTGAGACAGCTCGGCATATGCTCCTCATCCCATTGATATGGCTGTGACTCCTTCTGCATCAGCTCTTTGGAGACAGATCGTTTCACGGCACCTGTGATTTATTAAGCTGCCTATTTGAACACCGTGTTGCACAGATTTCCTGTGGCTGCCTGCACATCTGCTCAGGGAGAGCGCTCAATAAAGGCTGCCTATAAATACAAAGGCCAGAGGGGAACATGCCCTGACAATGAAACTAAACAAAAAGGGGGAAGCTCTGGGCAGAGGAGACAAACAGACAGAAGCAATGCTTCAAAACAGCGCTCAAAGAGCAGTCATTGCAGGTGTGCTGCCGAGCTGGCTCGGCACTGCACGTGGAGCCCTGCAGGGGTCAGGTTCTGTTCGGCGTTTTTATTAATGGCACGGATGATGGACTAGGAAATGCACTTACAAATTTGTGGGTGAACTTCTGCTGTAAGGAGCAAACACTTTGAAGAGCAGGGCTGGAGTTCAAAACTAACCTCAATAAATAAGAGAAATGTTGCAAACTGAGTAAGAGAAAATTCAATGAAAAGGAATGTGAAGCAGTGAGCTCAGGAAAGAGAACTCAAATGAGAAAAAACAAATGGAGAATACCTGAGGAGACAATGATAAAGGGCACAAGGGGCCATGGCATTACTGCCAGGCTGTGATGTACTCTTCAGGCTTCGCATGGAAAAATCTTTTCCCCCTGCAAGAGTTAAAGGTCAGGCCCCACTGTTGTTCCATAGATTCATAAAGCAGAGGCTCAGTGGCCCTGCTTGTCCCCAGTGACACCCTGAAGGACACCGAATGCCTTTTGGGGTGGCTGGGCTGCCACAGACATCAGCCATGGGGATCCGGGGATGGCTGCACGCCGCTCTCCCGGTGCTCATCAGCCAGCAGCGACTGATGAAATGGATCTTGATGCAGTCTGATCACAGGATGAAGGTGTCATGCACATAACCAACATTTAAATGCAGTCCAAAATGAATCAGGAGAGTATTTCCAGCAGGGAAGCAGCAGCCTCTCTCTCTCCATCTGCTTCTTGTTGTGCCCTTGCTGCTCACTCGTGGTCATGAGGAAAGGCTCAAATTGAAGAGGGCATTCCTTGAATGATGAGCAATGGAGAAAAAATATGTTATATGTGAAAAAACATAAAGAGTTTGAGGTGAGAAGGTGTTCTTTTTTTTCCGTTTTTTTTTTTCCCTTTTTTTTTTTTTTCCTAATCTAGCCCTCCTAGCAGGGATATTGCTCTCTATAAATTCACTGGCAGAAACTCCAAGGAGGAAGAGAGCCATTTAAGCTAAAAGCAATATTATCACAAGGATATGTGTCTATAAACTGACCAGACATAAATTTAGGCTGGAGATTGGAAGAATGCTCCTAACAGCTGGAGTAATGAGGCTCTGGCACAGCCTCACAGATAGCAATGAGTAGAAAGAAGAAAAATAAAAAAGCAAGAAAAAAAAAAAAGAAGGCAAGTTTTAAGATGGAACTTGCTCATGAAGGGGGCATATGTGTCTTCTCTTGGTACTCTGCTACTCTATTTACCCCATGCAGAACAGGCAGATGTTTATTTTCTTTGTTCTAGATTTTTCTCTGATTTAATATGCAGAGAAGGGCTGTGAAGCTGGCAATGGGTCTGGGACACAAGTCTTATGAGGAGCGGCTGAGGGAGCTGGGGGTGTTTAGTCTGGACAAAAGGAGGCTCAGGGGAGAGCTTATTGCACTTTACAATTACCTTAAAGAAGGCTGTAGTGAGGTGGGGATCAGGCTCTTCTCCCAAGCACCAAGTGATAAGACAAGGGGAAATAGCCTCACATTGTGCCAGGGGGAGGTTTGGGTTGAATATTAGGAGAAATTTCTTTACTGACAGGGTTGTACAGCGTTGGAACGGGCTGCCCAGGGAAGTGGTGGGGTTGTTGTCTGTGGAGGTCCTCAAGAAACATATAGATGTAGAATTTCGTAGCATGATGAATTGGTGGACATGTCCATACTCGGTTAAAGGATAGACTAGATGATCTCAGAGGGCTTTTCCAACCTGAATCATTCTATGATTCTGTTCTGTGATCTCCTGTTATTTATTTTCCAGGCTTTTTCCTGTCATCTTTGTAAGTGTATTCACATTCATGAAAACCCATGTGTATGATGGCAGTCCTGACGCCAGCTCAAATACTGTCCACCTGAATTTTTTGACTGTCCACAAAGGCCCAGCCTTCCACCAGGCCTGTGGCATTTCTCCAGTTTAAAGAAATATGGAAATCAGCGCGTGAGCCACTTTACACATCCAGTTTCACTTGGTGGCTCAGATTATCAGGGAGGAAGCTGCTCTTGCAAGACATTTGTTGGCTTTTTCTGATTTATTTTTCTTCTGCTGTCTCATGCTCTTAGTAAGCATCTTTTAAAAGTCTTTCCTGTGCTGAGACAGGAAAGCATGCCGTCAGGTCCTGCCCCATCCTTACTGGATGCACAGTTGGGTGTCCAGCAGCCATGCCTTTCCCCAGAAGGAGATAAGTCTCTAGACTAATTTACTATAATATACATCTAGAAAGGCAGCTGATAAGAAAAAATATGTCTGTGAGGACTGATTCACCATGGCAGTTGCAGAACAAAGTTGGCAGCTGCCAACATATCAAGCTGTACAAGGAGTTCTAGGTGTGACTAAGGAGTTCTAGGTGTGACTAAGGAGAAAAGGATGTAGATAAACAGTAATGCACTTTACAGACGTCACTGGGGGCAAAAATTCCCACAAAACCCATGAGGTGTCTGTGAGGAGAGAAGTCCCCTCACCAGGGGAGAGCAAGCAAGCTGCTCTGGAAGGTCAGTGGGACAGCTCTGACGGTGGGAACCTCCCGAGCCAAGGAGTAGGGCAAGGGAGGAAACTGCTAAGGAGACAAAGTCCTCACAGGAGAGCTGAGCAGGGAGCTCTTGGGTGTCTCTGAGCTCCCCCTGGCTCCAGAGGCTGCGGCATTTGCCCAGCCAGAGGAGTGTGAGCCATCTACACCCAGGGTAGAGCCATAACCACCAGCTCTGCATCGCTGCCAGCGCAGGTGCACCCATTGTAGGCATAGCAACAGCTACATTAGTGGTTTAATGCAGATTTATTAACACGGCCAGGCATTGCCCCCATTTTTAAGTTGGGCACTAGTATCAATTACCCACCCATCTTGTAGTCAGACCTTCCAAGAACAACGTCTCCATCAATTGAGTTTTATAGTGCACAACCAGTTTTCATTTTTCTATTTGCTTCTTCTGTCACAGAGGAGTGGGGCTAAATTATGAAGCAAACTGCTCTTGAGTGGTGTTACTAATGTTCATAAGTGACTTTAATAGACAATAGTAGTTATGCTTTGAAAGAGCAGGTTTAGTGTCACTTAAATGGATACAAGTTCTGTACCTGTCTGCTACTGCTTTCCTACTTTATTTCTCATACATAAAAAAGCAAAATCAGTACTCTTCACTTGTATTTTTTTTCTTTACTGTAAAATAAATAAATAAATAAGAAGGGCTGAGTATTGAAGAAAGAGAATAGAGAGAATGAGAGCACAGTGTTTTATGTCCTCTGCAAAAAGCAGAATCCACTACAGGCAGAAAATGGCTGTAGGCTCAGCAGGCAGACAAAGAGATGGAAATGTAGACACTGGAAAAAGGGAAGGCACTGCAGTCTCAGATGATGTGATGATACAGAAAATGCTGGTTAAAAATTCTGCCTCAAATGTGTTTTGAAAGAAACTTGGGGTTTTGTCTAAACCAATTTTTTGTGTGTGTAAAATGTGCATATGCTCCATGGAAACAGTATGTTCTTGCTGAGCTCCCCACAGCTGAAATATTGCTGTGATATTGCCTCCAGAGCTGTAGCAGCTTCTTCATGTCCCCATGCTCTGCTGTGGTCGCAGCTCCTCCTGCCGCCTGGTGACCAAGTCAGTGCTGCGAGGGACTGCAGCTCCTCACCAGTGCCAAAATCTCCACGACCGTAAGACCAACAGCCTGAGGCACACTCTGGTGATAGCATCTCAGATGAGAAATACACTGGACAAAAAAAGATTTAAATTTACATCAAAAATTCAAAATTTTCTATTGAATTTTGCTGGGGATCTTTTTTCTTTTTTTTTTCATAATTTTCTACTGAAAGAGACTTATTTTCTAGCTGTTCAAATAATAAACTTTGTGTCTCCCACACCAGACCTTGTCAGCGCTGTTTGACCACATGCAAAGTATTGATTTTGAGTCTGGCAAGGCCTCGTACAATGCAGACTGTATACAATGAATTCCCAGATAGATCTTGGCAGCTCATGGGAATGACAGACATCTAACATACTTCCAGAGCAAGTTCAGCTTTAGAGGTCAGCATTCAGCCTCGCAGATATCTGACAGGCATACTCAGCTAAACTGGTGAAATGATAACTCATATTTCAAGACACTTGAAACAGCCATCACCAGTACACATTCTCCTCCCCCACTACTCTGCCTGAAAGATGGTTTCTTAATGTATTTTTCTATAATAAACTTCACTTCTTCGCATTTTATTTCCCACCTGAGATCTAAATCATCTTTGCCATAAATGTAAAACAACTAAGCCAATTGTTTGGTAGTGCAGGTTTACAATATATCATTACAATAATAATTTAGAGAGCTGGGAAGTTTTCTTTGCTATAAATTTGCTCCGCTCATTACTGATACTAGTGTGCAAAACAAGCAGATTCCCACTGGAAAATGGGAGCAGTTGAAATCCGCCTGAGAGCCATGGGTTTATTTTTAGTGTTCTGCTACACTCAGAAAAAAAAAAAAAAATGGTTGTAACAGATACAGGATGGATGAACCAGTCTGCATTACATGGGAAAGGTCCCAGGTGGGTCTGAACTGGCCAGGACACTTGAAACAACACCTCATCTGGCATGGAGTGAGGGAATCCATGTGTATCACGCTCCTCTGAAGCCTTTGATTCCCAGACCTCACACAGCACCCAACATGTGAATACCAGGAAGGAAAAAGAAAATGCAAAGTTCAGGTGAGAAAAAGAGTCACGCAGAAGCTTTGGTACACACAGCCATGGTGGGGAAGACAATGGAAGGTGGGACAAGTGGTCAGCGAAGAACAGGACCCACTTCTGAGCAGGAAGATAAGTCGTTCTGGAAATAAGGGAGGTTTGCTGCTGGGATTCTCTAAGCCTGATTGCAAAGGGGAACTCAAGATCAACAGCTGAACTTCAGAAAACCAGAAAAAATGATGGACAAGCACAGGCAGTCTTGCAACAACAACTTAACCAAGAAGGGTCTCTAGAACACCTCTTCAAATGCTAGCTCTCACCACAGCCCACAAAACATCTCATTTCAATGCCCTGCAGATTACAAATGCAGTGTGAGAAAGCAAACACATCCCTGTCAAACTTCCCAGCAGAGACCAAGCCATCACCAGCCTCCTGGATTCCTGAAATAGCAGGGAATTCAGTGAGATTAATTTCTCGGAAGTGATATTAAGAAATTGACCATTTCATTAATTAAATTAAATTAAATTAAATTAAATAACCTGACAATCCCAGCTCTTGACAGAGGAACTCTTTCCTAATCTCAGAGATGAAGATCACTGTAATCCTGCCTATCAAGTGGAAAGCTTTCCTACCACCGTCAAACAGAGGAGCACCCTGCTCTGAACCCACCCTTTGTGGACAGCACTTGCAGTGATTCAGAGGAAGGCTAAAACAGGGCCAGAAGTCAAGTGGCAAATTGAGGAGTAAAGAAGGATTCCTAGACCACGCAAGTGACCAGCAGAAGACTGAAATCTGGGATTAATGTGATATAAATATAGCACAGGCAAATGCACTTGGCACGCAGTGATCAAATCTCCATCCAGTGTAATAGCAATAAATCACATGCCCAGGGCCTTTAGCTTCCAGCCTGGAATAATTTCTACTCTATCAAACAGCTCCTTTTCATCTAGAGCTCCATCTTCATATAATTTATGTTCCCTCCTTCCTGCCTCCCCCTCCTCATCTCCATACAGACAAATGGATTTTGGAAAGCATTTGAGAATTTCACTCTTTGGATAGTTAGAAATCTTCTAATTTCCAGTTTCAGTGTACTCATGACTGGTTTATATCTATTTGATCTATTTCCATGTTATCCCTTAATAGCTTTTCCACATTTGATATTATCCCCCAGATGTATTTATAAAGAATCATCACCCAACTTCTCAAAGTCATTTTGCTATACTGACAAAGCAAAGCTTTCAAAGTTTGTTTTTCTAAGACAGGTACTCCACTCCCCCAAACAGCCTGACTCAACAGCCTTTCTCTTTCCTGATGCAATTTAAAACTATTTTTTTTTACTAAAACCATATGCAACAGTTCAATCAAATTTTTACTGATATTTCGTATAGTAGACTACTACTTCTTTAACTTTGCTGAAAGTACTTCTGAAGCATCCCCGAATTACAGTATCTGCTTTTAGAGCTCCATCCCTCCATCAATCCGTAGTTACACTAGTGCTAACCAACACGTGCTGATGCTGACCTTTTCCCTCTTTCATTATGTCTAATTAGTGAATCGTCGGTTCAGAGAAAAAGCTCCTCCTGTTATCCCAAAGGGCAGGACTTTGCCTTTTGAGCTATTAAGTCTAATCTCTTTTCTGTTTTTCCAGTTGGTTAGATAATCCGATTCTTCATGTGTGATGATCTGCTCATTGTCTGGACGAGCAACGCCTTCAGCTCTCAAGCAATACAAACAGTCCTGAGCAGCTCCATGCCTCTCATTCTGCTGTGCTAATTGCTGATTATTGCTGCGGCTGGTTCCTGGGAGGCAGCACCCAGAGGTGCTCCCTGCATGGATCTCAGCATGTCCCTCATACAGGAGCATCCCCACCTGGTCCAACCATGCCCTGCCAGTGCTGCCGGCTGATCTCACGGTGCTTGAGTGGGTGAGGAAAGAGCCAGAAAGAGGAAAAATAACAGGATTTAGCAAACCATAATGTCTGCGTATAGCCCAGTGCCTGGGTGCTCCTGGCATTGTGAGGACCTTCCAAGCCCCAGACCCTCTAAGGGCTGCTGACTTCAGCACCTGTGGCACAAGCACAGCTCGCGGTGCCAAACCAGATCCGTACTGTCCCATCTCCACTGAAGAGCCAACTCTGGTGCCAGGACAAAGACCATCCTTCTCACGCTGCTCTGAGATGCCACCAGGGGTAAGTGCTCACACTTCGTTTTGGGAGTGGGCAAACAGACCCTCTGTGCCAGACAGCATGGGGCAGAAAGGGAAGGAAAGGTGCTGCAGCAAGGAGAGGGAAGAAAAGGAAATAAATCAAGGAGAAATGTGTATCATGAGGAAAGGGACTGGTAATGGGGGGAGGGACAACACAACCCCACACTGGAGGAGGTGAGAAGAGGAGGCTGTAACTGTGTGGTGGGCAGAGGGTAAGAGTTAAGGTACCTTGCTGCCCCACGGCAAAGTAAATCTGAAGAAAAGATAAAGCATTTTCTGGCATGGAGAAGGATTTCACTCCTTGCACCTTGCAAATCATATTCTAATCCCCAAAAAGCTGTCCATTTTCAGAGCACTTCACCCTTTGCCCAGTGGCTGCGATGCTGGCATTGGCACCCTGCTCTCCCAGTCCGAGGGCAGCAGCTTGAGGTGGGGACCAAAGAAACCAGCCTGTGGGTGGGTTGTTCCTGTACAGAGGGGAACAGGAGACCAACATCACCCAGCCTCCTCCTCCTTAACCTTGCCTCTATCTGTAGCCCAGCGTGGCTGTAAATTCCCAATGTTTGACCAGAAAAGGAGTAAAGCTGTGTCTGGTAGCTCCTAGCCAAGTCAAAGGCACTTTTGTATAGAGTCATCAGCAAAAACAGAAGCTGGAGTTCCTTGTAAGAGAAAACATCATACTGATCCCATCTTCCAGGTCTTCAGCTGTGCAAGATCTTTTTGCATGTGGGTAAGGAGCAGAGAAGCTGTGGGAGGGGAATGGCTCCAGCAGAGCCTTGGCACTGCTCTCACATCAGGTGAGGCTAGCAGGAGAGCTTCTGCCTCTTGCCCAGGTCCTGCATGCATTTGGCTCCTCTTAGGTGTGCTCTGCGCTTCGAGGGGCAGCGAGAGACCCCACGAGGACCACAGCGGAGCTGAGGGACCTGACTTGCTGCACCACACCCCACATCTCAGAGCTGGGCTTTCGGTGCAGACAGCAGCAACGTCCACGACCACCTTGGGTGTGAGCCACTGGCCTCCTTCGGAGGAACCACGGCTCTGAGCAGATAACCACCCTCTCTCGTGCTTCTCCAGGCAGTCCCTGTCTGCAGCCTTTGGGGTGCAAACTCCCTGTTTGCCTCTGGACTAAAAGGCTGGCTGTGCTGCTGCTCAGCACCAGACCGCCTGGGGCTGTGCAGGATGTTGTTTTTCTGATACTTTACCTGTGAAGAGTGGGGAGGATGAGAACAAATTAGTAGTTTGGATTTTTATTTTTATTTTTTTCATCGCTAAGAAAATTTTCATCTGGAAATAAGGTTCCTGAGCTGAGTTTCAAGCTGCCAAATCACAGCCTCTCTCGTATTTTCATCAGAGATGTCTTGAATATTTCAGAATGGTCAATTCATGAGCAATATTACAGAGAAATTCCTAAGAGCACTTGACAGAAATTTGCTGAAGACCCTGTTCCTGCCTGCAAACGATCCGTACTGAAAGCCAAATAATTTGCGGAAGACTGTTCAGCTTTTAACTCAGAAGAAAAACTGAACAAATTCAAAATATTTTGGTTTTCTCAGAAGGGAACATTTTGTTTTCTTTTTCCAAATTAGTTTTTGCATTATTTATTTTATTTCAGATTATCTACAAAAAGCAAAAACCTAAAATTGGAATCAAACATTTTTATTTTACCAAAACAAAATAGTCTGGCTGATTTTTTCTTTTTTTCCCTCCGGTGTGGGGACTTGAAAGTAAATTAATTTCCATCCCACTTTATGGAATCATGTACACATGAATTAAATGAAGAAAATAAGTCTTCAGCTATCCCTGGCTTTTAAACAGAGGTGTTTACGTTCCCTGGTGAAGTAAAAGGCATCCCCCCTTGCAGAAGAGTGGTGTCATGGGGGAAGGAGGAGGACAGATGTCCACGACGCAGCTTGCATGGACGGGACCCCAGCATCTTGCTGTTGTGGGGGTGAGACCAGCACAGCCTCATGGACCATGTCCATGAGGTGGGAGAAGGCAGAAACCCTTATTTACAAAAATAGCGTGACAGATTTTTTTACAGCAGACTCAATCTTTGCCAAACATGACTCAATTACTCATGCTGGGTTTATATTACCTTGCAGGATTTTTATTCCATTTCCCAGGAAATCATTACTCTTCCTCACTCCCTGCACTCCCAGCACAGATCTGAAGGCAGGTGGGGAACAGTTGTACCCAGGTCCTTAGGCTCCTGCCCTCACAGTCCCTGTAAGCCCCACGCACCACACGTTCCTCCCAGGGCACTGATTTTTTTGCCCTTTCTGTGGAAGCACAGCACGTGGGACACCCGTTCTGGCAGGACAAGCTGTAGACATTACCCTGGGGAACTTCTTTTTCAGTCCTGGTGGGATTCCCAAGACTTTGAGCAACTTCTCTGTCAACCACCCTGATTTAAGGGTACTGAGGCAGGAGTAGCCATTCTCCTCCAAAATCCACCAGGAGACAGAAGGAAGAGGGCCTGGTCTGCTTTTGGGGTTGGGAATGGGAGGAAAGGAAAGGACAGGGCCCTGTCTGGACGGGTGTCACTTGTGCCAGTGACACCAGTCACCAGTGACAGACTGGTGTGTGAGCACTGTGCCTCCTGGGTCAGCTTGCAAGGTTGAGAGGGACCAAATCAGTCCTAGGCATTGCTGGAGTCATGAAAATAGCAAAATGCATGGCCCAGCCACACAAAAACAGGCCAAGGAGCAGCACTGGGGGTGAGTCTTTAATTGTGTCCTTGTAGGATGATGGCTGAGTAGGCACGGTACAAATCTGCGGTCACAACATGAGAGCAGCTATGGGACTGCTACTAAAGGCGGTGTCCAAACCATCCAGCAGAGCAGTATTGGTGGCCAAAACTCAACCAAAACCTTTCTAGAAAGACAAAGGGAAAGCCATGTCTCTGCCTCCTGCCTTCCTGTCCAGGTCCTTGGGTGAAGGACCATGATACAAGCCCGTACAGCTCAGGGACTTTGCTGTGCTGCTCTGAATGCAGAACCCCACTCAGTCGCAGGGTTTGATGCCACCATTGCAGGGACTGGCCCTGAACAGAGTGGGTGCAGAGTCACAAGCCCTGCCTAAAAACTGCAAAAATAATCAGAGAGAATGACCAAAAAATTCTCTATAACTTTACCTAATAACCTTGCTAGCTCAGCTCCTCTAGCCTGAAAGAGCAATGGCAGAAGCTGTTTTTGTTCCCTTGCTGCTCACCTGAACTTGCTGCCCACCATCAGCCTGGACTATCATGTGGAAAAACCAGACACTAATTACTATCAACCCATTTACAAATTGTTCTTCTCCTGCCACATCTGTTCGGTGAAATCCCTGGGTACCCAGCAACAATCTTGCCATTATTTAGGGGCTGTCCCAGATGCTTTATTGCCTGTCCCCATGGAAATGTGTACAGACAAAACATTAGCTGTTTAAGTGTAAAATAAATTTCCACCCTGCACAGCTAGCTTGCTCACATGAATTGCTTCATGGGCAACAAAAAAAAAATCTGTTGGAGACATCTGCAAGGGAAAATAACAACCACAGCCATGGCTTCATAGGAGGGAGGCAGAAAAGCTCCACAAAATGGTCCAGTCCTTCCCTAAGGGCCTGGGGAGGCTAATCCTGCTGACGTTTGGGCTGCAGTGTTGCAGGTGATGGAATAACCTGCCCTTCTCTCCAAAATGAGTCCCACAGCCTGCGGCGCCGTACTGCTGAGAAGTCCACCCCGGTGTTTGTTTTCCTCCTCCTTCTTAGAGAAATGGCAAACAAACAGACCTCCAGCCACAGCTATATGTCATGGGAAAATGGTTCTGCTCATTACCTTGCTCTTGGTAAAAGAGTGTGTTTTTTTCTGTCCATGTCCTGTGTATCAGCACAAAGAAAACCCTTTCTTCTGCCGATGGATCCCCCCTCCCTCAGCCCAGCTCAGTCTGTGTGCTGAACAAGCCAGATGCATCCATGTCTTTCTCTCACTTCTCCCCATTTCTGTGCTGTGGGTGCTGCTGGTCTGGAAATCCTCACCACTTTGTCCAAGTCTCCTGCCAAAGCACTTGAGAGCAGGGCTTCCCAGCAGGAGCCCTGCTGTCTCCGGGCTATTTACGCTGTGCTGGGACTGATCTGAGCACTGCCTGTTGCCATCTGCCACCTCTACCCTGCCACGCAGTCTCACCTTTAGATTTAAAGATGATCAAACTGTTTTCTTGTGGTGCTTATTCTGCAAACACACCCATTTGCATTATACAAGCCGAATGCCATTGCATTTTCTCCCTTTGTTTCTGCACTTCCCTGTTCCAGCCTATTTATTTTTTTATGGGATTTTCACCTCTTTCCAACTTCTAATTTAAAATGAATTCGTGCACCTGTCCTTCCAGCAGAGCACTATTGAGATATGTTAACTAAACCCTTAGTTAGATGAAAGAGTCATTTTTTGTATGGCTATAAACCATAGTCAAAGAGAAAAAAGTCAACGGGAAGCTTTAACACAGAGTCACCCAGGGTGCCCTTTTTTTCCCCTTATTCCTGTGGAGAAAAAATAGGAGATTTTGGACAGTGACTCATCAGATCAAATGTAGCCAATCACCTTAATTGAAATTAATTGCACCCAGTCTCCACGGCTTATATTGACTCTACAGGAAGTATCTAATGATGGGCTCAGAGGGCTGCATCGATATTTAACCGGGATGAAAACAGATTTTCCCCACCTCAGACCCCCCTAGGCTGGGCTGGGTGCTGCTACAAGGTCTGCAAATGAAGCTGGAGGCCAGGACACGAAATGCCTCACCCAGAGCAGCAGAGAAAGACAAAGAAACCTGAGCAATGAGGGAGTAATGAGTGCCAGCCATTAGGAAAGAGCATTGTTCCACATCAGGTGGGTCAGGTTTAAAATAACTGGTTTCCCCTTGTGTTTCCTGAGATGGAGAAGGCATGCTTAGTCTTTGTTGCTGTCTGCTGGATCTTCCAGTAGCACTCACGGTTTCTTCTGTCCAGGTCCTGGAGAGAAGACATTTTCCCAAGTTACTATGGAGATGGCTGCGATGCAGGCAGCAAGCACAAGGGAAGGAACAGTATTTGGAGCAGATGGATGCATACGAGGTAAGATCCTGCTTGCTCTCTCTAGCTGGGAGAACAAAGGAAAGTATAAAGATAGACAAGATTGGAACAGAACAAGAGAAATTATTTGTACAAACACTGTTGTCATAGGTGTGAGTGTGATGGTGTCAGTGAGGCTAAGGTGCAAAGAGAGGTGATGGCTTCCAACAGACTGAGAGTGCAGATGGCGGAAAAAAAAAAAATGAGCCATTTGGGTCCCGCAATGAACAAAGGGTTTTGTGCTTGAAAACATCTCTGGGATTTTTTCCAGGTATATTGGATGGTCTAATTAAAGTGATTGATTCACTCCAGAAATATGTCATAATTTCTCTGGCCTTTCTTTGGTAAAATTCTTCCTGAGGTAAGAACAAATGTCACTCATCTCCCAGCTGAGGCTAATGAATGTGATGAGTAAGTGATCTGTGTGCCTGATGGGGGTCTTGTTGCACAGAGAAGTTTTACCCCAGTTCTGCAACATTTGGTCTCCTCCATTACAGCTGCTGAAGCCCTTTTGCCTAGAAGCAAGTGCTTGGAATAAGGGTATATACATGGCCAGCTGGCAGCAATGTAGCAGGATGCATCCTTGGCCAGTTTTGGTTTACCTAACATGTAAAACACTGTAGGAACATGGGTATTTGCCCCCAAAACAATCTACAATACTAGTGTCTGTCCATTTCGCTGCCCTGGGTGTTTTTGTAGCTAATGCCACAAAAGGGTGACAGAGCGTGCTGCTGTTCCTGCTGCCCAGAAGAGAAACACCCCAATGGTGGGGAGATGCAGAGCTCCATGTGGCTGTGCCTGGGAGTGGGGACCAGGACCAGGAGTGATGTCTCATTGCTTGTGAGGACTGTGTGTTTCACAACGGGACCCAAAGCACCCATGCAGCAATCAGAGGCATCCAAATGAGCCATGGGGAGCACAGTGCACCTGAGAGTGCCTTAGTACGGTACCCCAGGGTTATCACCAGGGGACAGCCATCCTTTGGGAATTGCCCAACTGAAGCTTCTCTTTGCAGAACAGTGTGAACTTTTCCCTTTTCCTTGAAGGATCTTTTTACTTTCCTACATGAGGCAGGTGTGCATGAGAAGGAAATGCAGGTTTTTTTCTTTGTTTTGTTGGCGTGTGTGTGTGTGCATGAAAACAGTCTGAAAAGCTGCCCTTCAAAAAGTCACAGAGGCTCTCTAGAAATGCTGACTGTGATAGGATAGGTGGGCATCGGTAGCAGGGATGGGGTGAAATGTCCATGTTAAAAGACAAGTAAGATATAAGCACCTGTCCAGGGAGCTGTGCAATGCTATTGCCCCTCATGTTCTGTCACCACATGCCCCCCTCTTATTTCAGCCTGCACAAACAATCACTGTGGAGCTGGGACTATGTCTGACAATGGATTTATGCAATGGCCAGTGCAATGAGACCATGACCATGTTAACCCTGCCAAAGAGAGACCAATTAATGTGACAGCTGACCCTGAAATTTGGGTTTTTGCTCCACATTATGCAGCTGCTCTGAAGCATCATCACAAGCCTGTCATTATTCTATGCCTTGGTTTTCTGTAAAATTGAGTGTTTTACCCTCTTTTGAGTGAATATTTTAAGACCTAATGATGCACCGTGCTGCTTATTATTATCACCAGTGTAACACATTAAACCAGTGTCATAATCTGGTGTGCTTAACAATGAGAAAATCGCTAGAGTTGTTAGAAGGCAGGAAAGTTGGAAATTACTTGTTCCTGAAAAGGTAACGTGTGAAGTACTGATGCTGCCTTCTCATCTGTATTCATCACAGCAAGTAGTAACTGTTAAGGCCTTCCCAGTACAGAAGAGCAAAGCCCCAAAGGTTTGGGGACTCCATCCCTAAATGCCATACAAAGTCAGGAATCAACAAGATCATTATGTTTAATACCAAATATTTAATAACGAAGGTAGCAGTGAGATTGTGTTTCATTCTGATATGTATAATCAGTTTTACTTGAAACAGCAAGTCACCAGCCTGGTGCCAAACCCCTGTGAAAAGGAACTCAAGAAACAAATGTCTTTGGGTACCTTCAGGATATATATAGAAAACTATTTTTTTGAAAGGTGTGAGTCAGACTGAGTTTGCAAGATGTAAATCATGTCAGACAAATATTAATTTCTATAAATAAAATTAAATAATTGTCTATTAATAAATTTAAATAAATTTATATTAATTTCTATATGATTAATCAAATAACTATCAGTCTCCGTAGAGGAAGACCAAGAAATTCCATAAATCTGGTGGGGTTTTTTTGTTTGTTTGTTTTTAAAAAGGTTTACCTTGAAGTGGTATCACATGATGAATTTTTGTAAAGCCTTTTAATCCTGGCTTGTAATTGAGGTTTGTAGTGCTGTGTCGCTGCCTCACAGAGCCTGGGCAAAGGTTAGGGGCCAGGTACCCCAAGAGATGCCAGCCCTACATCAAGTTTTCTACATCCTATGCTGGGTTTCTTCATCCCCTGAGATCCTGCTCCCCACTGGCATCACAAGCACCCCAGGACAGTCCCTCCATACACACCACAGGCACCTGGATGGCTTTCATTTCCAGTGGGAGGCAGCTGGAGGAATTTGTTCAGAAAGGTCCAGTTTTTCCAGAGTTAAACTGGCGACTTGCCACCTCGTGGCTCTCCTTATGATGGAGCTGCCACTCACAGCCTTTGGAGGACATGGTGAGTAAACAGCAAATCACGATGGAAAATGCTGCCACACCTGCCATCGGGACTTTATGCAGGACCAGTGTTTATGTGTGGTGTGCTCAAAGCAAAGGCCAGGGTGAAATAATGTAAATCCTAAAAGTAGTGTAAATCCTAAAAGGGTCTGCCCTTAACTGTAGACCTGGAAATAGCCTGCTGAATGCTTTGGCACAAACTCATAAATGAAGGGCAGAGAGATGTTGATGTTGTTTCAAGCCAAGTGTTGATCACATTGAGTGATATTGCTTTCCTGGGGCACAGAGCATCATTTGGAATCAGTCCTCATCAGGGGCTTTGGACCAAGCTCTCATGAACCTAATGATGTACACAGGTTTATCTACCAGTATAAAGAAAGATCTCATTAAAATGAGAATGGGACAGCCCAAAGCTGCTAAGTTAATGAGCAAAATGAAAGGGCTTGTAGGGAAGGATGAAAGAGATGTTATTAGATGCTGGAGGGAGAGGAGCTGAGCCTGAATGATGACACCAAAGACTACTTTAGGCCTTTCAGCCTGACTCGTCCCAGTGACCAGGAGACACCTTCCTCTGGGAAAAAGCAGAGGGCTCTCAATGGTTTTAAAAATAAAAACAGATAAAATCACATAGAACTTAACAGATTTTACTCAGTTATTCTGTATGACATTGACAGCCATACATGTTCTGCCACTCTATCACTGCCTTATAAAATAATAATATTAAAATGAAGACCCTATAAAGTGAGATAAAAGTGAGACACAAATCACATTGTGAAATGTGGAATTTTGAGACAATTTTAGACTTCTGAAACTCAGGCGTGTTCCCAAAAATTATTTACTTTGGGTAAGGAAGGAGGAGAGAAATGAAAATTGTTACTTGACTGCCACCCACAGAAAGCTAGCAGATTTTTTTAGTGAAGAGCATTGACAAGCTGATCACAGGGTCACTGCAAGATGGAAGAAATCACAAATAACATCCTCTGCTGTGATCTGTGCTCATTCTCTGCTTTGTATGTCCCTTGTGCTGCTCACACAGCTTCAACTCTGCACAGTTTAGTCAGTGGAAACACACATTCAAAAATAGTATCAAGAAAATTGAGACACCACACCTCTGTTTATCTGAACTTTCTCATTTTCAGAACAAATCATAATAGCTACAGCTTTATTAATTACCATCTGCAAAGTGTGAGACAGAAAAAGCAGATTCTCTGCCCAAACAGCAGTGCATCCTGAGTCGCATCGCAGTGCATTCGGAATCTGGACCCAAAGCAGAAGGCAGGATGCTACTGCAGAAGCAGGCAGCCTGCCTGCAGAAATGTGTCCCTGGGCTTGCAATGCCACTTTCAGCCATGGAGTGGGGCACAGCTTTGGACAAGCAACATCTCCCCATGGTTCTTCCCATCTTTGTGAACTGGTATTCCAGTGGGACTGATGTTGACAAACAGAGATGTTCTGAAACTAACCCAATTGGCACGTGAGAGCTGTGCATAAACCTTGTAAATAGGGGACATAAAATGCAGGCAGGTGGGAGAGGGCCAGAGAATCTCTGCCAGCTTTGGTAATCTGTGTGGGCACTGGCCCAAAAATGTCACTTCAAACAACACTTTCCCAGGGACTGTACTGGGCTGAAAGTCAAATGCCAAAAGAAACCCCTAAGAATTGATCTTTACACATTCAACAGTCAGGGTACCTTGGGTTCTTTTAGTTAAGGCAGCCCTGCAAGGCAGTAACATGTTAGTAACATGAGGCCTGGGTGGCCAAAAAGCACCAGCTAATGGGAAGCCAGTGCTGCTGACAAAGCAGTACCTGGATGGCATCTTGGTTGCTGCCATTTGGGTCAATGAAAATGGGCATTTTGGCAATAAAAGTTCAATTATGACAATCTCAACTTGCACTTTTTACTGGAAAAATGTCCATTCCAGTGCACCAATCCTCAGCCTCATGAGGTCTTGCCTGATCAGCCTTGTGCTTTCCCACTGATGCTCTTGATAATCTCATCCCTCTGCCTCCTGCTTTTCATGAAGTTTGGCATTATGGACTGGGAATTTCTTCCTTGGGGAGTCAAGCAAAGAAGAACAAAGACTGGCAATGGCTTTCCAGGAGAGGAGGGGAGGGATGTAACTGGTGAGAAGACAGGAGTGCCAGGTATAAAGCTACATGTAGGGCAGGGCTGTCTGCATGTTTTCAGGCCATGTTTGCAAACCCCTCTGGCTCAGCCTCTGATGTGCTATTTGCAAATATTTATGTCAACTGGTTTTGTTTGCTGAGGTATTTCGGGAGTGGCTGTTTGCTTTTATTCATTCATGAATTGTGGTGAGTGTGTGTGCGCGCGTGTGCATGCGTGCCTCACCAAATATTTGCTTTTCATTATTCATTATTTGCAGTTCATATGTTGCTGTTGGTAATTTGCTGTCCTCTGTTCTCATTTAAAAGCTCCACTCTCTGTCCTCAGGAATTGAAGACAATTCTGGGTGCCAGGTGTTGCACTCTATATAACGCAGCTGCAAACAAGGGAATTTATTAAAGAGAGCTCAGAAATGGCCATGAAATGATAAACACTGTGAAGAAAAGAGGGAGGAGGGAACATAACATAAGACAGTGGCCTTAAAGTATGCCTGATAAGTTTTCATGAAACAAAAATAATAATCTTAGGGGAAAAGCACTTAAAGAGGTTTGGTAATACCACAAGTGAATTGTATTAGGTGTTTTGGAGCAGACCTTCCCAATGCAGATAAGTTGCTCAGAGAAATTGGAAACTGGGTCAGCTTGAGGAAAAAAAAATAATAAATAAATAAATAAAAGTGAAACAATAACAGGAAGATTTGCAGGTGTGAAAAGAAAGGGCAGGGCAGGAAAGAAGAAACAATCAGCTGGGGACATCAAGAGCAGGAGATGCTGCTCTGTACGCACGTAAACTGTGAGAGGCAGTTCAGGGAAAAACCTGGCCTGGTGCTCAGCAGGCAGGAAGAGCTCCCAGGAGAGGACACAAAGTAAAGCTCTTAATGCCCTTCCTCTGTCTTTGCAGAAAGCCAGACTGCTCCAGCAGCTAACAAAAGTGGCAAAGCCGTGGGAATGGGGCTGAAATGGAGAAAGAAGCGAGCACTGAAGAGTTATGAAAGTTTTCCTACTCTTAGATTGTCTGAACCCAACAAAATTCAGCCCAGAGTGTTTCAGGCTGATCTGAGCAGTCTCAGACCTGATGATCCCCATCTCCAAGAGCACGCGGAGAAGGAATGGATTTTGGAGGCCTGGAAAAGACCAAATCCATGGCCTTCCGTGGGGCTCTCTTCCTTGGGAAAGAGTTTTTAACAAGCAGGGCAGCCTGAGTATCTTTAAATGGGCAGTAATCGGTAGTGAACATATAGATTTGTTTGTTATTAAAACCTAAAACCGAAATGGATTAAATTGCAGAAAGAAAAAACGCAGCCCTTTTTCCATCCAAAACAGCAGTCCAGGTGTTTTTTGTTTTGTTTTGTCTTTTAATTTATTTAGCAAACTTTGTAAACAGATACAAGGTCCTTCTCAACTGCAGCATGCTGTGCAGGAGGCAGACCTGCAGACAGCATGAGAAAGCCTTTCAGAGGTGATAATTTACTGCAGGAATCACTGCTCACGTCTCAGGCATTTTGTTTTCCTAAGCATCAGAAGTCGCCCGCCTTGCTTCCCTTTTAGCGACAGTTTGTTTCACAACAGTGATAAGAAAACAGGGAAGGTCCTCCGTCTGCGTCCTGCTGGGACTGCCTCCAGATGCTCCCTTCAGTAGCAGGAGCTGGCCACCGTCCAGCCTGCGAGGATTTCTTCTGAAGTGAATGAGCTTGTAAAAATACAAGCAGCTGGTGCAGATTATCCAATTTCCATCCCCCTTTCATTTAGCAGCCAGGATCTCTGTCGGCCGGGCCTCCTGCCTGATCAGTTGTAGGAGCTTTGAACCCCTTTAATGACCATTTGGGTTGCAATCTGTACTCTCCCTTCTACTCATCTTCTGCCCAGCTTGGTCCACTTCATGATGTAGGCAAACGCCCCCTCCCACCCCAATACAATCGTCATGATTGTCTAACCTTGTTTGCTGCCAGTGCAGGGGTCCCAGGGTGAAATTACTCCTTTTACCAGTAGGAAGCAGTCAGCTTGTGAGTACCCTACAAACCCCTTCCTGGCTCTCCATCCTGGCCTGACATCAACCCACTGGCCTGAGTGGGGTCTTGTTCCCTCATGCCTGGGCTATCCTATAACACAAGAATTAACCCACACTGTTGCAGCAGGGTGCAATCAGAGCTTTGGGACACTGTGGCCATTCCTCCTGGCCCCAAGGTGGGCTTCAACATCCCACACTGGCCTACACAGATCAAACATCCCCACTCTCCTCAACACCAGTGACCCAGGAACCTGCTCGTGTATGTTTATGGATGCTGCAGGCCTGCTGCTGGCCTGCAGTGTGAGCACAGCTGATGGGATTTATCATCCTGCCCGCTTCCACCTACCAGTACTGCCTGTGCTTCAGCACCTTGTCTACATGCGGTATTGCCTTCACAGGCTCCATCAACTTTTTTTGATCTCTCTCTCCTCTCTTTCAAGGCACAGAGCCACACACGCAGCTTTTTGAAGTTCATTTTCACTCCTTACCTATTTAAGGAACATCTCTGCAGAAGAGAGAAATACAAGAGCTCCCGAACACAGGAGCAGTTAAGCTTCCATCCACTGTGTTTTATAGCTTGATGCTGGCATGGGCCCATTCAAATATATTTTGACATACAACATGTTATTCTTTCCAAGGCAGTTGGTCTCTTTATTTATTTAGTTAGAGTGAAGGATTCATTCCCCTGCTGACTAACAGGAGACCAAGGATTCCCACATGCAGCTGAGCCCCTGCACTTCATTCTCTGCTGGTGAAATTGTTTTCATCCATTCTGGAGCTATTACACTTCATTCCTCACCAATATATTTTTATTTGTATATAAAATAAAAATGTGACAGCACATGGAAAGTTAAGAAGTGGATAAATTCATAAATTACTTTTATACTGCAAAGCTGATATGGCTGTATTCCTCTGGACTTAACTGGTGCACAACCAAATAGATGCT